GGGGGGGGACGCATTGTTCCCCCTTATTCCGTCAAGGTATCGTCCAAACGATATGTTAGATATGGTGTAAGTCTAGATTATTGACGTATGAGAATACATAGAAATAAAATACAACCCTATTTCTTTGGCAGATAAAATGATATTTTCTACAGTAAACGGCCTACAACCACACATTGCGTTTGTTGAGACAATTGCGTCGTGCATCAACAGCAATAAAAGGGGAATTCCCTAAAATCCCCCTTGTCAACTCTATTAATAATACCTGCAGTCGCCATTGTGAAGGTCGTTTCCAGCTGGTAAGTTAACGTGATAATTTATCAAATTTTGAGGTGTGATGTGTCAACTACATCAGTGTCAACGTGTGAAATACATCTAGTCGTAACTGAGATGTATTAAGGTTGTTGACATTTCGTTGAAAAACTGCGAATGACAACATGTAAACTGCAGTGTTTATGCGTTAAGAGCGAGATGGGAAATTCGACGTTTCGGTTTCGGTTTGTACCTGAATATATTGTTTTCTTCACGGAGGAAAATATGTTTCACTGCGCTGCGCTTGGCAAATACAGTATGTAAATGTAGAAGACAAGGTAACTTTTATTATGAAATATAGGCCTACAGGTCACAGAAAAAGAAAAATAGTTGCATTTGTTACGCTTGTTAAAATGAATGTTCCTCGGGTATTAGAGGCAAAGGGGTTTCATACAAGTTGTACCCCTGTAGGTATTTCGTGTAGGCCTACATGTAGGTCACACGCAACCCGGCCGTTGTGCCCCCCCCCCCCCCCCCCGCCAATTACGTAAGCTATTGTATCATTATCCTGATTTAAGTACAGTATGTACCCAGACTGTGTATAACAATTTGCACCTGACTCAATCAGATTTATCTCTGTCACAAACATGATCTTGTTTGATTGACCAAAAACTTATTGCGCTTGTTGAGACAAACACATCAACAGCAAATAAGGGGAATTCCCTTTAAAAATCCACTCTCGTCACCTCTAATTATAGAAAGCCGCCATTTGCACGGTCTGTATCCAACTAGTAAGTTAACCTGATATTTTATTAAAATGTGATATATCTACCAAATGGCTGTAAACTAGTGACATATACCTCGTTGCCACTGCTGTGACTACATGTAATTGCTGTTAAAATTTTGGTACAATGTTCCTTCTTCCGTCATGACAAAATTGATGAAATTGTTTGTCAGTAAGGATATCCGTGCGTAATTTTGATATTACTTTCTCTTTAGACCTGGATGCGATTAACGTGACGATTTCCAAAATCCCCAAGTCTAAGAGATCATTTGACAAGAATGATTTAAAGATAACACCACTAGGACCCTTAATAGCGACATTTAAGCTGCACAGAACATTTCTTCGGGGTGTATGTGTGCGTGTGTGTGTGTGTGGTGGGGGGGGAGGTCACGTAATATAGGAGCAGGATTAAGACCACATATGGATGTGATAATGTAAAAGCAATTGTACAGTACATTTCTGTATATTTTATGTTACGGTGGCGTCTCTGTGCCAAGCTGCTTCTTTTCTTTTATCATTCGTGGGTCTTTACATATTAGGTAAGTTCATATTGTACATTTCATCTTTTTATATATTTCAACTTATGATGCTTATTCATCTTATTTCAGACAAGTGAAATTTAGACATACTTTGTTCTCTTCATTAGAATGTGTACAGTATAGCCACCAGCCAGTATGGGTTACACAGTGCTTCACATAGCCGCAGAAGATGGAGATATAGATAGGTTACAGCATCTGCTGACTGCCGGGCAGTGCGACATCAATGACCGGGGCATGGTAACAACTTTGAATGCTCTCCATTTAGTTACGCCGATGTCGATATGTTTATTAAATGTAACGCTACTCGTTAGAAATAACGATTTATTTAATGCAGACGACCCATGCCATAGACTGAATCATCCACTGCATCATTTCACTTTTCCTTCCCTCTTTCCGCTACACGAGGTTTTCTATGTGATAGGCTAGACATATACCAATGTAAACGATATAATAAATCCAACAAGAATCCCATACATGTAACATATTGTTATACATTTATCACGTGCACATATGAAATAAACGATCTGCTTTTGCAGATAATATTTTGTTTCCATACAAACCACTATGGTGCAGTGTTATAACAATCACAGCGTTGTACATACCCGTATCAACAAAGGGCTGTTAATGCAGCCCCTATACAGAACCAAACTTATAGTTAACACGGCACCCATCAATATATATATATATATATATATATATATATATATATATATATATATATATATATATATATATTTCTACTGCACTTGAAATATATGTGTTTAATCAGATTGTTTCTACTTATCCACAGTGTGAGATGACACCACTTCACAGTGCTGCAGGTAACGGCCACACACAATGTGTCCAGCTTCTCCTCCAACACGGGGTGGATACCAGTATACAGGATAGGGTGAGTGTAGAATAGTCAGAACACAGCAGTACGGCTATACATTTATGCACATTGTCATTTTTCCTTAAGTTGTGAGAAGAAACATTATTGTGGTTTATATTCTATTGACCTAGTATTTTCTCATTTATGAATAATTTAACATAAAGCACATCTTGAAATAGAACACGGCATAATGTTTTCAGTAGTTCAACTAGTTAAGTATTATTACATGTGAAGTGTGATGTTAAATATAGAAGTACAAATAAAGTTATTTCATTAAAAATCCATTATTTCTTTCAATATTTTACACAGAATAGACAAACTAAAGTGATGATTTATCAATCCACTGCCTCACTGAGCTGTAAATACAGGCTCAATACAGATGCCAAATTTAATATTAACACAGCACCGATCATTTTGTTCAGTTAAGCTTTGTCATCAAACCCAATACTCTTTTCTACTGCACTTGAAATATATGTGTTTAATCACATTGTTTGCACATATCCACAGGGTGGGATGACACCACTTCACCGTGCTGCACACTGCGGCCACACACAATGTGTCCAGCTTCTCTTCCAACACGGGGCGGATACCAGTATACAGGATAGGGTGAGTGTAGAATAGTCAGAACACAGCAGTACGGCTATACATTTATGCACATTGTCATTTTTCTTTAAGTTGTGAGAAGAAACATTAATGTGGTTTATATTCTATTGACCAAGTCTTTTTCTCATTTATGAATAAATCAACATAAAGCACATTGTAAAATAGAGCACGGCATAATGTTTTTAGTAGTGCAATTAGTTAAGTATAATTATGTTTGAAGTGTGATGTTAAATATAGAAGTACAAACAAAGTTATTTCATTAAAAATCCATTATTTCTTTCAATATTTTACACAGAATAGGCAAACTAAAGTGATGATTTATCATTCCACTGCCTCACTGAGCTGTAAATACAGGCTCAATACAGATGCCAAATTTAATATTAACACAGCACCGATCATTTTGTTCAGTTAAGCTTTGTCATCAAACCCAATACTCTTTTCTACTGCACTTGAAATATATGTGTTTAATCACATTGTTTGCACATATCCACAGGGTGGGATGACACCACTTCACCGTGCTGCACACTGCGGCCACACACAATGTGTCCAGCTTCTCTTCCAACACGGGGCGGATACCAGTATACAGGATAGGGTGAGTGTAGAATAGTCAGAACACAGCAGTACGGCTATACATTTATGCACATTGTCATTTTTCTTTAAGTTGTGAGAAGAAACATTAATGTGGTTTATATTCTATTGACCAAGTCTTTTTCTCATTTATGAATAAATCAACATAAAGCACATTGTAAAATAGAGCACGGCATAATGTTTTTAGTAGTGCAATTAGTTAAGTATAATTATGTTTGAAGTGTGATGTTAAATATAGAAGTACAAACAAAGTTATTTCATTAAAAATCCATTATTTCTTTCAATATTTTACACAGAATAGGCAAACTAAAGTGATGATTTATCATTCCACTGCCTCACTGAGCTGTAAATACAGGCTCAATACAGATGCCAAATTTAATATTAACACAGCACCGATCATTTTGTTCAGTTAAGCTTTGTCATCAAACCCAATACTTTTTTCTACTGCACTTGAAATATATGTGTTTAATCACATTGTTTGCACATATCCACAGTTTGAGATGACACCACTTCACTGGGCTGCACGCTGCGGCCAAACACAATGTGTCCAGCTTCTCCTCCAACACGGGGCGGATACCAGTATACAGGATCGGGTAAGTGTAGAATTACCTTAACACAACAGTATGGCTTCATTTACGTACATTGTCATTTTTCCTTAAGTTGTGCGAATATACATTATTGTGGTTCACATTCTCTTGACCAAGTTTATTTTTTCTCATATATGAATAAATCAACATAAAGCACATCTTAATATAGAACACGGCATAATATATTTTTTTGTTTTTGTTTTTGTTTTTTTAAGTGACCAGTGCTCTAATGCAAGTAATACAGATACATTTTTTTCCTTTTGCACCCAGCCCCAGTGGGCTTATAAGTCACTGTTTCATTTATAATACATAGAAACAATAAATAATGTATAATATAAATAGCAGTTATTTACATTTAACTAATATAAATGGAATATATTGGAAATATAAAACATTAATTTCATACAAGTATAAACAATAGAAAGCATATACAAACTAGGACGTTGCTCATTATAAATTAACTCTTTCCGTATCATATAGGCACGTTTTAAATAATTACTAAATACTTTTTATATGTTTCTCCATTAATTTTCCAAGTTTCTCTGACAAATTTAAGTTCAAAAAGTCTAAATCAGTTGCCGTTATTTTTCTCAACATCTCTTTTCTTATGTTATCGTAGGCCGCACATTCAAAAGCATAATGCTTTACATCCTCTATCCTTCCATAGTCACGCATCACACAGAATCTTTCTTTCACTTTTCTCTCACAAACCTGCCCGTTTCTATTCTAATCGGAAGTGTAACAAATCTTAATTGTGCTATCAATGATCTAGTCATTTTATCAAATTCGTGGGTTACATAGTTCTCAACCTTGTATTTATTTTTAAATAGTATGTAAGTTCTGAATTTACTGTATGAGGGCAAATCTCTTTCCCATTCACTTGCCACTAGATCTCTCAAGCATACTATCCACATTCACTAACTCCATACGTTCAAATTTATTTGTCATGTCTAATTTTTGTAATATACTTTATATCTCACTAGACCAGTTATTTATGCACTTATTATAATCTATGATAAAGACCCTTTTCGTTAGCCTTGATGAATCCATTAAAACCAATCTATTCCAGTATCTGAGCATAATGTTTCCAGTAGTGCAATTAATTAAAAATAATTGCTTGAAGCGTGATGCTAAATATAGAAGTACAAACAAAGTATATAGAAGTACAGAGAAAGTTATTTGATTAAATATCCATTTATTTATTTCAATATTTTACATAGAATTGACAAATTGAAATGATGATTTTATTTTTCCTCTGTTACACTGGGCTAGCTATTAAAATAGCCCCTGTAAAAAAAAAAAGCCAAACCCTAGTAACACGCCCGATTTAAAGAACTTATGAAACTTAATAATATGTCATTAAAATGAAGTTTAAAAAACGAATATTTAATGTTCCTGATAAATATATATATATTACTTCAAAATTTTAAAAATTAGAATATCCAAAAAATGATCATTTTGTCCGCTTCGTGTTTCTTTTCATGTTTCTTTTCATAACATTTGTTATTGAGAATATTTTTACTCTTGGAAAAACTTTTGTTTAGTTGTTACGTTGTAAAGTAATTGAAATACACTTTCACTAATTGCAAGTTATAATTGAAGAATAACCAAATGAGCAAAAGTATATTTAATTATTGAGTGCAAGTTTATTTTTTAAGAGTCAACAAATGTAGAATTTTTTTTTCGTAGTAGAAAAAGATGGACCGTGTCAAAGTCACATAACTCGATTTGATTTTTTTTTTAAGTTGAGCTTTATTATCAAATCCAATGTTTTTTTACGGCATTAGAAATATATTTTGTATCATATAGTTTGTACATATCCACAGCTTCTCATGAGGACACCACTTCACTTTGCTGCCAGTGGCGGCCACACACAATGTGTCCAGTTTCTCCTCCAACACGGGGCAGATACCAGTGTACAGGATAAGGTGAGTGTAGAACTATTGAAGGTATATGACGACGTGGTTGCGCTTAATTTTCTCGAATTACATAAACAATTATTACTTTATCGCATGTAAATTATTTTACTTTTAATCTGTAGCTTATTATTCTTATACATTGTACTCGTATTGAAGTACATGCTAAAGCAAATGTCATGTTAAAGTATTTTAGCAATATAAGCCATGCATATGTATTTAATCTGAGTAATACAGGTATGTACGTGAGATAGCCAGGGCCGTAGCCTCCTGGGGGGGGGCAGGGGGGGGGTAGCTGCCCCCCTGGGATTAAGAATTTTCCACACTGGTAGGGGGACACCCCCTCCCCCCTCGGGGGCTTCGCCCCCTCGTGTCTGCCCCCCCTCCCCTGGCATTTTGCTCAAGCTACGGCCCTGATAGCTCACTGTCATCCGAGCAAGAAGGTGGCAGGACATTATGTGGGCATTGAGAGATAGGCCTCGCATTTCACCCTGAAACACCCTTTCGGCCAAATAATGTGTATATTACCACGGTCACATATAGTAACAGGGCTGGAAATCACTTTTCACCGGTCGGTATAGAGCGGTTTCAATTTCGTCCCCTATAGGTCATAATATTTTCCTTATATATATATATATCACAGGAGAAAAAGACACCAAAAATGTTGGCAGAAGAAAAAGAGTGCACTGCCGTAGTTGAACTGCTGAGGCGTTTTGAAATACATGATATACAGGTATATGTACCAGTGTGGAAGTGTTAAACGCTTATTGGATTATGATGCATTGAGCTTTAATGATAAAAATCTTTTTGATATTTGGAACCATTTTAGTTACTAATTTTGTAGGCCTAATGTGTACATAATTTTATTGGTGTTCTTGAGCCTCATGTGTTCCATTCCTTGAAAATGGAAATATTTGATACATTAATTAATATACAAGAAATATATTTTAATTTAGGCAGAGCCCCAGAATACAGAACGTTGGGAGCTAAATTTATTGGCATAACCGCACACGGGTGTCTTGATATATGTAGCATACATGTAACTGTTTTCACCTTATACCGATACCTATTAAATAACCTTGTTTATTCTTTACAGATGTACATTCAAACCAGGACTCTGGAGTACCTTGCTGAAATATTAGACCCTGAAGAATATCGCATATTTACCCTGACCAACTTGGTCCCGAACTTTCCTGATCTGTTTCAATTCGGAAAAATTCAAGGAGTGAAAGATTGGATCGCCAAGAACAATTATACCACTATTAAAGATATAAGGGAGGGACTACTGGATGCAAACCTTCCGCGACTGTCCCGTAAGTAATCCACTGACGTAAACATATTATTTCGATGTAACGCTATTTTTATCTTATTCCATAATCTCGATGCAACAGAAATCGAACTGTAAGATTGGAAATAAATAGAAAAGATTAGGGTAAAACATAAAATGTATACCTACAGGGTTACCACTTAATATGGAATATTATTTTTTGGCGAATAAATTTTCTACAAAATATTTAATTTCTCTCAAAGTACATTAAATCCAAAGCTGAGGTGTCACTCCATGTGTAGCCAGATGTGTTACCTAATTACCACACAACTCTCGAAACAATTGATGCATGCAGTTGCATGTTCTGTGGTCAGAAATGTGAGGGGTGGTCTTTTCGGCAATTTCTGCCCTTGTATAAAAACGCATGGGTTTGGTCAATCTTTGGAGCGTGTTTAGAGAAGCAACAAAGGGATCGCTCTGAAACTTGACAGGTACCTTAGTGAAGATATGGT